GCTATGAAAATTGAAAAGCATAAAATAGCCCAAATAATTAATACTTTTAAGCTTAAAGAACTAAAACTCTCTCGTGGGTGATTTTGCTGGTTCTCAAAAAAAATAAAAATAAAAAAAATATTTTTGCTGAGGAGGCCTATGAAGATTTATGCCGACATCGGCAAAGATTTTGTCTCGTCTATGAAAGAGTAATACCGATCTGAGGCATCCTCGATAATCGATTTTCATAATTTGATTTACTTATATTTTTATATTCTACACTACCCAAAAAAATATTATCCATTTTTACGGGAAAGAGCTGAGAGGGAACTGGACGAAACTTACATGCAAGGAGACTTTAATTGGATCGCAAGGGGAAAGATATATAAATAATTTTCTATATGCCTTGTTATGTAATTAGTTCTCTTATGTTTGCTTATGGCTTTGTAAACATGTAAAGGTTTTGATAAAATAAATGTTCACCAATAAATTAAATTTTGACCCGTTATGGCTTAGTGGCACACGCCAAGGTTCTTACTAAATTGCACACATGGTATGTGACTCGTCAAAATTGGATGAGTTAACAAGAGTGACACGTGTAAACATTTAAAACTTCCGTAAAACAAATCAAATTAAGAGCAAAAGGGGACAAATTACCCTAATATAGTCGAAGTATATCAATTAGGGTTTAATTCCCTAATTCAATGATTATGATTTAATTAAGAGCTAAATTAAATCATTAGCTCAAATTAAATCAAATTAGAAAGTCAATCACATAAGTTACGGAATTCAAATCAAGAATTCTAAACTAATATTTTATCTCTCTAACCAAGACAAACACTAAAATACTCACATTTGTGTTCTTTATCAAGCTTATGGAGAATCAACAATCACATCAAACATACATGATGATTTGTCCACCACCGAAGCTGTAAATCATCCACCACGTGACACTACTTGCGGTCCAGTTTCATTCAAAATTAAGTCTTGAGTGTCATTGAAAGGAACCTCAACCCGATTCAAGATTGGATCAAATCTCTAGGTTGAAGATTGATTCAAATTAAGGAATATTCTTGTAAAGAATAGACCACTTAAATTATAACCTAAACAGTAATCAATACAAATTATTGTATACAAATATTTTTCAGTTATTCGTTATAAGAATTTCTGTGTTTATAAGCTCTTCATTGGTTTCTTTTCTTGAGATGGACAAGTCACTTATATATATCGGGGTGTAAAAGTCCATATACCATACCTTCAAAGCAAAATGTTCTCTTTCTTCTCATTTGCATTGGTTTTTTTTTTTTTTTTTTTTTTCATATCAATTGGGAGGAGGAGCTTTAAACTTTGAATTTCGAAATGAAGTAACACTCAACTAAAAGCAGCTGGTTGGTGAAATGTTTCTAATATGTTGAACTTCTCTGCCTCTTCTGTATCTCATCAAGTGATATGTGTGTGTGTGCAGTGGCGGATCCACAGTAGGATCAATGGGGTCGCACGACCCCTTGGAAGCCATGGAAACAACCTTAGAGACCCCTTGGAGCTGCTGGTGTGACCCCTTGGCTGCACACCAAGTGTTCGACGAAGGGTCTGAAAGAACTCCTCAGCTGGGCTGGTTGAAGACAAAGGCGCGCGCGCCTGTTTTTTTTTTTAAAACAACCTGGGCAAAACAACGTCGTTTTGGGCCAGGTCTGAACAAAAAAAAAAAGCCCAGCGTGTCATTTTCAGCCCTATTTCACACAGATCCGAAGCCATTCATTCCAAAACCTCCAAATTTCTTTTGTTTTCTCCTCCTCCAACCCTAAGTTCCAAACTCAATCCCCCCCAAACCCTCAACTCCATCTCCTCCCTTGCTGCCGCCATTAAGGTGCCTTTGTGTTGCCGTCGTCGTCACTGTGGTGGTGGTGCCACCAGCTTTGCTCTTTGTATTTGCTCATTGTTATTGTGAAATTTCACAATTCAAGTAAGTTCTAAACCCTATGTATGATATATTTAATTTAATTGAAACCTAATTCATATTTATTTTGATTATATTGGTGGTTTGTTTATATTGTGAGTATTTATTTTGAATATTTTGTATATGTAGAATATATTTAATTTAATTGAAATTCAATTCATATTTATTTTGATTATATTGATGGTTTGTTTATATTGTGAGTTTTTATTTTCATTATTTTGTATATGTAGAATGCAAGATGAGATATTTAATTTAATTGAAATCCAATTCATACTTATTTTGAGTATGTTGATGGTTTGTTTATATTGTGAGTATTTATTTTGAATATTTTGTATATGTAGAATATATTTAATTTAATTGAAATTCAATTCATATTTATTTTGATTATATTGATGGTTTGTTTATATTGTGAGTTTTTATTTTCATTATTTTGTATATGTAGAATGCAAGATGAGATATTTAATTTAATTGAAATCAATTCATATTTATTTTGATTATGTTGATGGTTTGTTTATATTGTGAGTATTTATTTTGAATATTTTGTATATGTAGAATTATTATGGAACAGTTTTTTTAAGAGAAAGTCATCATCGGGTTCGGGTAGTTCGAATAATGTTGATAGTTCAAATACTGTTGGTTGTTCAAGAACTCCAAGTTCAAGACAAAGTCAGTTAGATGGTGTTTTGGGTAATCTTGAAGCGGATCTTGGATTGAGAACTCGAATAATAGATTATGATGTTAATATGAGAGATGAGGTCCGAAGATCATATCTACAAAAAGGACCTTGTCAACCTAGAGGTCATAATTTCCCAATAACTAATATGTCGGGACTTAATCGACGCTTCATTCCCAAATGGTTTGATGAGTTTGATTGGTTGGAGTATAGTATATCTAAAGATGCGGCATTTTGTCTCTATTGCTATCTCTTTAAAACCAATTTTGCACAAGTGGGTAGTGAAGCTTTCACTGGAGATGGATTTAAGACTTGGAAGAAAGGGAGAGAAAGATTTAAGATGCATGTTGGACCGGTTGGGAATGTTCATAATAAAGCTAGAGAAGCTGCTACAAATTTGATGAATCAAGCTACACATATTGAAACGGCAGTGAGCAAACACTCCGACCAAGCTCGTAAGGCTTATCGCACATGCTTGAATGCATCAATCAAGTGCACTAAATTTTTATTGAGACAACGTCTTCCTTTTCGTGGCCATGATGAAAGTGCCACTTCAAGCAATAGGGGGAATTACTTGGAGCTATTGCAATTCCTTGCAGATAATAATGATAAAGTTAGAGAAGTTGTGATGGAAAATGCTCCGGGGAATCTCAAATTACTAGCTCCTACATTCAAAAAGAAATTGTGAATTCATGTGGGTGTTGCGTTATGTGGATGACAACGGGCATATAATTGAAAGATTTGTGGGTATCCAACATGTTACCAACACTATTTCAAGTTCACTAAATGATGTTATTGACACATTATTTTCTCACAACAGTTTGAGCATTTCCAAGCTACGAGGACAAGGTTATGATGCTGCTAGCAATATGAGAGGTGAGTTGAATGGCCTTAAAACAAAGATATTGAGAGAACAATCTTGTGCATATTATGTTCATTGTTTTGCTCATCAACTTCAACTAGCTCTTGTTGCCGTAGCAAAGAAGAATATAGACTTTGCCTCTTTTTTTGCAACGGCTAATATTATGATTGCCTCTTTTTTTGCAACGGCTAATATTGTGGTTAATCATGTTGGAGCATCTTGTAAGCGGCGTGATTTACTTAGAGGGCAACTTCAAGAAGAGCTTGTGATAGCTTTTGAAAATGATTGTCTTATAACGGGGCGAGGCTTAAATCTAGAAACAAGTCTCAAACGTGCCGGTGACACACGATGGAACTCACACTATGGTACCTTGATTAGCATCATTTCCATGTTTTCATCCGTGGTTCATGTGCTTCAAATGGTTATTGATGATAATCCCAATGAAAGTGCGGGTGAAGCAAATAAGTTAATGAGAGAAATACGTACTTTTGAGTTTGTGTTTCACCTTTTCTTGATGAAAGTCATATTGGGACTCACAAATGATTTGTCACAAGCATTGCAAATGAAAGATCAAGAAATTGTGAATGCAATGGCTTTAGTGAAATCATGCAAGGAAAAGCTACATTGGATGAGGAATAATGGGTTCGATGCATTGGTTGATGAAGTATCTTCTTTTTGTGAAAAACATTATATTGATGTTCTTAACATGGAAGATGCATTTATACTTCCAGGGAGGTCAAGGCGTAATGCTCCAATAAAGACAAATCGTCATCATTATCGTGTGGAGCTCTTTATTTATATCATTGATGAACAAATTACGGAGTTAGAGGATCGCTTTAATGAGGTAAATACCGAGTTGCTTATTTGTTTGGCATGTTTGAGTCCGAAAGATTCATTTGTAGCTTTTGATAAACCAAAATTACTTCGTCTTGCTCAATTTTATCTTCAAGACTTTTCGGATGAGGATCGTTTGGCACTTGAAGATCAACTTGAGATTTATATTCATTATGTGCGTTCCAGTAATGATTTCTCTCAATTGGAAGGGATTGGTGATCTTGCAAAAAAAATGGTGGAGACAAGGATGCATCAAGTATTCAATTATGTATATCTACTCATTACATTGTCTTTAGTTTTACCAGTTGCAACTGCTTCAGTGGAGAGAGCATTTTTTTTGTTATGAATATTGTTAAGGGTCCACTTAGGAACAAAATGGGAGATCAATGGTTGAGTGATAGCTTGCTTGTTTATATTGAGAGAGATATTTTTGCTTGTATTGAAAATGAAGCTATAATGCTTCGTTTTCAAAATATGAAACCTCGTTGTGGACAATTATAGCTTGTAATATTGTTTCCATTATGAATTATGAATGAAAGTACTATGATTTCATTTTCAACATGTTTTTCCATCCTAAATTTTTTTTTGGACTTTTACACTACGACCCCTTGTGGTAAGATTCCTTGCTCCGCCACTGTGTGTGTGTGTATATATAAAATTTGAATGTCACACAGAGTATATATAAAATTTGAATGTCACACAGATAAACTTTTATGGGTTTATTGATCTTTAATCGCGATTATATTACAAGAATTGAAATAAGTAGAAACAAAAAAAGTCTCTGAGACAGTTGCAGAAGTAATTAAGTGTTTGTTGATCCTTATTGAGATGGCCGTGCCTCTGTCTCCATGTCCATGCATGCAAGGAAAAGCTCTTCACATGATGTTGGACGTCGCTATGAAGGCCAAGGTTGAGAGTGATGCAACAAATGGTACGTGCATCTTTTGGAACACCTTCATGCCACTGCTTTTGTAATCCACTGTCGAAATAGCTGCATTTTCAACAGTTCCCAATTATAATGTTCTCTTTTACAGTACTATATTGTCAAACTATGAATCGAAACTACACATTTAATTAAGGCAACATTAATTTGATTAATGGTTCAAATTCACATTCGGGTAAGATAATGTTTCTGTCTCTCTTGATATATCTTGTGTAAGTTGATATATAGCTAGAAAAGAATACCTGAATTATTATTCTTACATCCCTCAGTGATGGTTGTGTTGAGGACATGCACAGTGGCATTGTTATGAAACCAGAAGTCCCTTTTGCAGAGGTAGATACATTTAAGAACCTCCAAGGCGTGTGCTGAGCAACCTGAGCTGCAGTATTCTCTGGACTCATTTGCGGCCACGTCCACTATTCCTGAGAATGTCAGCTGCCCCTTTGCCGAACATTGAGAAGGTGCCTAATTAAAACACCCATCAAACAGGTCAAATTTTTTGTTCTAGGTTGCTTCATTTAGGTGAAAAGAGTATAAGATTCTCAACCCTCCAAATCCTCTTCCCTCTCCTCCCCTCCTCTCTCACTTTCCTCTCTGTCTTTTCAAAGAAGACAACACAAGATGCTCTTTTGGTCACACGGAAACTACGGTCACCATAAGTAGATGTGCTTTAATTGTTTAAATTTCTACCATTGCTATCACATTTAAGGATGACTGACCATAAATTTTTGTTGATCAAATAAACAATAAATAGAACTTCGAATGTGTGTGTCTATGTATATATGCATGTTAATAAAACTTCGTAGATGTAATACATGCATGTCTGTGTGTACGTGAGCTTACTGTTCTGTTCATGCAGTAGTAAGCACTTTCCCAAGCATAGAATGGACTTAGATTTACATTGTCTGTAGGGTCTGTTTTATCTGAAAATTAAACCAAACATTTCATCAGTACAAATAATTCAGAGTTTGCGTTTTGCATGCATGCTACTTAGTTACAATCCAAATATAAATTATAAATATATATCTCTTTTTTCACAATTTTATTTTTCAGATCATTTGCAAAATAACGATGAACTAGAAGAGAATTAATACATACTAAAGGCCTGAGCATTTTGAAATAGAAGGAAAATCCCCAGAGAAAACCAAACCAACCCAATTTTCCCACCAATCTCCATCACTTAGCAAACTGCGTGCTTCTTCTTCTTCTTCTTCTTCCAAATAATTATTTGCGTTGAGTCTAAGAGAATTTCTGTACTACTGCAACATTTATAACATCAACGAGCCCTTGATTTATGTGTTAGAATTGGAGCTAAAAATGAAGTTTTGGCCAAAGGATCAAGACAATGATGTGATATGATCATTTCGCTTTCAGGATATGCTGAGTATATATGTAGCAACATTGATTAGTTTGATTTAACCAAGGATAATAAAACAAAGTGTAAATTTCAGAAGACAAAATAAGACAACTAGCTATTTTGGCACTTTATTTCCTAGATGATAATAACAAGTGGTCTAATAGTTGGGCTTTAGAAGGATACGGGTAATATTCTCCTTTTACTTTGTGTTCACATATTTTGTTAATATTTCAGAAAGAAAAGTTATTGTCTCACTACTATTTGCACTGATACTATATCCCAAATTTTACGTACAACACAACTGAGGTGAGAGTTATATAAGAAAAGGCATCAATGTAATTAGAAGTGAAATCATTCATTATATATTGTATTTTATTTTGTCAATTTTCCAAATGCAGAATTCTTGTATTCTCCAACAAACCTGAATTTTTTTATTTTTGTTTTCATCGATCCCTAAGATTACAACTACGATCCAATCCATGTCATTAAAATTGGTCAATTTCCATCTCAACTGTCTCATTCTAATTGAAAGTTCATGTACTTCCTTATTTGATTAAGGCCAATGGTTTAACTGATGTGACAAAAATTAAGCGAAAACTTGCAATTCAAAATTTTAAGCACATTTGATGGAAGTCGATGCTTTAACCAACAAACCAAAGAGCAAAATGGGGGTGGAGAAAAAGGGGATATGATCGCTATGGAGAACAAAGACTTGGGATGGTGGCCATCTCTTGATCATGGCATCTTCCAGCTCAGGCTTTAGAACGTGGTCCTCCATGTTCTTGATGTATACTCCTGGAACACGATCAGCAGTCCTCGTTTCCTTCGAATCGAGCGCCTTTCAACGCCATAAGGTGCTGACCTCATCAGCATTGAAGCTACAGTTGAGTCCTAAAACATAATTCAATGCCAAAGAATATTAGAATATAGGAATGCATCGTTTTTACAAACGATATAAAATCTTTTATGAATCCATATAAATTACGGATATGATGATTCGAAATAGAATATGAATACATTACGTTGCCATATTGTGTTAACCGTGTGAGACTATCAAACATTATATTGCTTCTCTTTCGTCGTGTCAACTTTTAGTAGTTGATAAGCGTGTGCTTGACGGTGTGACTCACTCTCATTAACAGCCGACTGAAGTGAGTAATAGTTGTCTCTAGCAAAACTCATGCATATAATTCGGCAGCTTTTGACGGTGTGACTCACTCTCATTAACAGCCGACTGAAGTGAGTAACAGTTGTCTCTAGCAAAACTCATGCATATAATTCGCAGCTTTTCATTTCCCGGACAAGAAGTCAGTGAGAGGCTGGTTATAGTTTTGGAAAGTGAGGATGGTATTAGGGTCAGATTGATGAATACCAGCACCTTTGAGGTCAAGACATGTGAGTATGTGGCCTGAAGCTTCCATGAGACACCAGATCTTGTATCAGCACCAAGCTCCATGCCTTATGCCATGGATTAGAACCGTGATGATGATGATGAGGGTAGTTTAGTAATATTCCACTCTTTGTCCTCTCCTTACTATTGATCTTCCCCCTGACATATTAGCTTCAAATTTTGTTTTTGTTTCCCTGGCCTCTTATCTCTCTCAAGTTTCAAGGCTTTGTGCATGTATAAATATCTGAGCTTTTATTTGTTTCAGACTTTTTAATCAAAGTAGTCTTTGAGATGGGTATATAACTTCTCATTTTGGTTTCTAAAATTTAAAATCGATAAAAATAATCTTTGAAATTGTCCACCAACAATCATTTTGAATAAACCTCATTTAATTGATGGTACTTTTAGAGGTCGCACTTGGTGCGATGGCAAGTGCCTTCGCTCATAAGCGGTAGGTCTCGGGTTCGAGACTTGGGAGCAGCCTCTCCATAAATAGGGGTAAGGCTAGCCGACATTCACCTCTCCCAGACCCTGCGTAAAGCGGGAGCCTTGTGCACTGGGTACGACCTTTTTTTAATTGATGGTACTTTTATCAAATCAACTACTCATGAATGGGTGGTTTCATTTTTGCATGTGATTAACTTAAGCAGGAACTACGAGACCAAGTGGGTTGTGTTACCTAGGTAGCTATGGAACAAAAAAAATCCTATATTTGAGAGTTGAGATTGACTTATGGATAATGTTTATTAACACAATTGTTGTCCATTGTTTCGTTAGTGATCATATCATGTCTCATTTTCTTTCTGATTTCCAAAAGAAACAAAATCTGATGACACAATCTAACCTTATCCTTTTTTCCCCTTTGCATGCTACATGTAATCGATGAGGATAGAGTAAGAAATGGTAATGCTAAGGATAGGATAATACTCATAATGGGACAAGGTTGTTCCGCCACCTGAAAATGATCTTCAAATGAAGATTATGAAATTGAATTATTCCAAGTACAAAAATTCTACGATGAAGATACGTTATTTTCAGGTGGCAGAACAATCTTGTCCCATTACGAAAATTCTGATGATGAACATATCAATGGTGTAAGTACAAAGTAACATATTGATGATGAACCATTGATTTATTTAATACAGTTGACTAACCGATCTCCGATTTAAATGCTTTTTTTGTAAAAATGATCTTCAAATGAAGATTATGAAGTTGAATCATCAATATGTTACTCTGTACTTACACCATTGATTTATTTGATTTATTTCATATTCTATTTGAATATCCACATGATATGATGGATACAACTACTATACGAGTAATTCTTTTTACTATCAGGTGATATCATGTGGTGCTCAAATATGACACAAAAATGTGACCTTCCACAGGACCGAAAAATATACATGAGGTGATTTACCTACATTACGATTACTACTTGATTAACAATTATATTTTCTTAAATTAACATACCAATAAACAGTGGCGGAGCCAGAAACTCATACTAGGAGGGGCCTTAATCCATATGAAAAAAATAAGACAAGATATAGCAATATAACTAATGAGAGAAAATTAAAGGTTTCTTTTTTGTATTGGCATGAAAAATTTTAATCAAACAAAAGTGGTACATCTTTAACATGTACGAAAAATTTAGTGCTGAGATAATTATAAAGTTAACATTAATTTCAAACAAAAATTTAAAATCATAGCTCAATATGAGATTTTTTTTCAACATAAATTAACTTGTTTTATAAAGAGGGTTTAACCAAATTAGGTTCCCCATTGTGTGGTTTAGCCGAACTACTCCTCGCTTTAGTGTAAAATATATCATTGCACAAAAAAAAAAATTTATTAAAGTACATGAAGGAGATTAACAGCAAGTTTCAAACCCCTGGCGTGCAGGAACATTAAAACCCCAACAACTAACGAGCTACATGCTCTTTATAAAACCAACATATAGCGTATATAATTTAAAAAATATTTCAGGATGGGCCCGTACCCATCTTGGTCTCCATGTGGCTACGCCACTGTCAACGGATTATTTTTCGTGTTTCAACATTTGTGTATTAAGTTAATTAGTAATATATACCTCAATCATGTTAAGGCACTCATCTGACTAAGAATTTCATAACACATGACTTATCATGTTTTAATAGTTAATAGTATGACAAAGTATCATAGAAGCAAGTAAATGACACGAGTATTAACAATAAAATCAAAATAATGTATTTTTGTAGGTAAAAGATATTTAATTTGACTCTAGCGAATAACAAATTCAAAATTAAATTATTATGCTGATTATTAATCCCACGATGCCTTAAGTAAAGATGGGGATGGAAAATGAGTCCACATCAATTGGACCAAAAATTTAATTCTTGATGTAAATTTGGAAGAAATCAAAATTTTGGGCGGTGAGGTCAAGTGGAAGAATTCAATAAAGACAGGAGGCATATATAATTTTGATAATTCTATGTCAACTAGAAAATAATAACCAACAAAAATAAAACAAAAACTGAAACTATTGACCAAAAGAATTAAAAAGAATGGTGCTATCTAATTACTTCTTTTTACCTTTTATATATTTCCTGTTAATTTTGTCACATATTTCCTGTTAATTTTATCATTTAATCTTGGGTAAATTACATAGTAGCCCCTCAGGTTTGAGGTCTATTACAATCTTATACAACATCTTTAAAACATTTCACTTTCATACCTCAAGTACTATTTTATTTCAATTTCATACAACCGTTACATTTTCCATCCATGGATCTGTTAAATGATGACGTGGCTGCCACATATATGCCACGTGGCTGCCAAATGTTTGTCATGTGGCAAATAAAATAATTTTTTATTTTTTTTAAAAAAAACCTCTCTGCCACTTTTTTTTTTTCTTCTTCTCTTCTTCTTCCTCCTTCTTCTTCTGGGTTCGGTCCCTTTCTTCTTTTTTTTTTTTTTTTTCAGGTTTAAAAAAAAAATTTAAAAAATTATTTTATTTGCCACGTGGCAGACATTTGGCAGCCACATGGCATATATGTAGCAGCCACGTCAGCATTTAACAGATTCATTGATGGAAAATGTAACGGTTGTATGAAATTGAAATAAAATAGTACTTGAGGTATGAAAGTGAAATGTTTTAAAGATATTGTATAAGATTGCAAATAAACCTCAAACATGAGGGGTTACTATGTAATTTATCCTTTAATCTTTCTTATTTATTCAAACACCTATAATTGAAAAGAATGTGTACCAAAAAAAAAATGTGTGGATAGCAATATTCTTAAAAAAAATGTAAAATTTGAAACGGACGGCAGATATAAAGCAGCGATGCAGGACGTTGAGAAGGGTCACACGTCACATGTTTGTGCCTTGCCTCTTCGAACTTGGTCAATTGACAATTTGACAGAGTGATGAGACACCATAATTGTTTATTTGATTTTCTTGTCCAAAAATGCCAAAATATTCAAATTAAAAAAAAAAAGTGATCTTGACTTTGTTGAATCATTCCATTTTCCATGCAACTTTTCGCAATCTCAGCTCCATTTGAGAGAGCTGGGAGAAGAAGCAAACAAGATCAAAAGGGAACAAAAAAGTTCTCTCTCTTTCCCATTTGAAACTTTTGTGGAGTGGAGCCTCAAACCCAAATTTTCACATTTCCCAAACACTCCTCTCTCTCTCTCTCTCTCTCTCTCTCTCTCTCTCTCTTCCTTCCAGCACTGGGATCTGTTCTCTTCAGTCTGCAAGAACAAAGCTCAAAGGTGAGAACTTTAATGAATTTTCCATCTGGGTATTTGATTTTGGTCATAAAGATGGCTGCTTTATGTGATTCTGCTAGTTTTATTAGCTCGTTAGCTTAAATCAGAATTTACAATTTCTCGGTTTCTTGAAGTTCTTATACATACATGCATACTCACAATCAAACTATACAATTTCCAGCCACTTCTGATTTGGATTACAAGTTCAGAATCAAGAATAATTGCTGAATTTTTTATCTTTTATTTATAATTCCTTGTTTCTTTGGTGGTAAATTAAGATGTTTATATATAATATATAATTGAGTAATTATTAAATCTCCTTCTACCAAATTTACCCCTGTTGGAATGGAAGGTGAGGGATGTGGGGCAGTTAGCTGGAGCCTGGACAGTCTTTGTTTCCGACAGATGCATTCCTTTCCCGCGGATTCAGATTCAGATTTTTTATTTGTTTCTTTTTTTTCTCATCGTTCCGACCAAACACCCATGGATTCAGATATTTTCTTTTCTTTTACTTTATTCCTTTTCTTGTTTTATTAGGACAGTTTATGGGCCCATGAAACAGTGTTTCGGCCCAGTTTCCAGTTCTGTAGGCCCAACTGAACTCGGCTTGTTTTTGCCCTCTTTGGAGTCCAGCTTTTGCTGGCATTGTTTTCATGAAGTGTGTCAATGACATCTACGACAGCATACATGAGTTAGGCCAGTTGACATTGTGACGATGTGAAGGTAAAAGAGTCTTACATTAGTGAAAAAAAGAAACCTTGCAATGGCTTACAAGAGGTTGGGTTACTTTTCGTATAACCAATTGGTTTTACTGTGGAACATTACCTTTCTTCGGACATTTGCCTACCTTTACCAACTCAAGTTCGAATTCCCCTTCCCGTAGATTAGAGCGGTTTAGAATATCTTTCAGTAAGAAAAAATGACATCTATGGTAATTTTATCTATACTATTATCCTATTATGAGAGCTCTCTTTGTCAATTTAGGTGAAGTGTGTAACTTCTGATTTGATTTTTTGACATTAGATGTAAATACTGATGTTGTGAACTAATCTGTATGTGGGCTTGGGACACAGGTTATTGTAGCGAAAGTATCAACTCGAAGTTTCAACAACATTAGCAAATGGCCAACTCCTTGGTAAGAACTGAAATTCAGAATTCCATCAAACACCAGCTTTGCTAATTCTGCAGTTTCTGATATGTTGTTGTAGTTAGAGAACTGAACGATTCATCTGCGTATGCCATGATCACATTGTCCAGATGAATTTGAGTTAAATTTGATCGTGTCATAAGACGGAATGACTGATCAGCCCTGCTGCAGCATTATGTTATGGATAGAAAGAGTGTTGTCAACTTAAACATGGTTGGTGGGATAGTGGTACTGTACATGCCAATAAAAATGATTATGTTAAAATTGTAGTAGGAAAGCATACTATTAGCAATGTCATTGTGTGACTTTTATACTAATATGATATATGCAAAACCTAGATTAGAGCACAAATTGTTAGCATTACGAAGGTTTAGTGTTGAATGAAATATTTGCATCGTAGAGTCAAGCATCTAAATAGCGGATGGTCTTTCACGGATCAGGCATAAGATATCTTGTTTTTTATATTTCAGGTTGAGTCCAATAAGACTATGAAGAGGTTCGAATCAAGAAAGTCTCATTCGTGGTGGTGGGATAGTCACATCAGTCCCAAGAACTCTAAGTGGCTTGCAGATAATCGCGAGGGTGAGCAACAAACACCTCTCTTGGTCTTATTTGTAACTTTGTATGTGTATTTAATTATTTATTTATTTTTAAAATGTCACATGCAATGCCACAAAGGCATAGGAAAGAGATGTCTAATGATGAATATATCGAGCATCGGTATTATATTTGGTTTTGACTTATTTACGAGGAATTCTAGGTTAAGTCAGATTCGTTTTACTAATTTGGGCTAATGCTTTCTTCTTCTTATACGTTATCAAAGATTTCTTGTTGCACATTCTAAATGAAGACAAGGTTAAAATGGGTAAATCGGACTACGGTTGTATAATTTTAGTGTTACTTCTCCTGGTCTAATGGTATAGGGGTTATTCAACCCCAACTACCCAAACCAGTGGAGGATGTTGGTTTTCCAAATTATGCATGTTTAAGTATCTAAAGAGTTGATTTTTTTTTTTGTCAAAGTTCTAAAGTGGTGATTGCTATAATCGATTTTTCGCCAAAATGCCTCTCATGAAAATGACAAAACGATCTTTCTCCTCAGAGATGGATCGGAGCATCAAACGGATGTTGAAGCTGGTTGAAGAGGATGGTGATACATTTGCAAAAAAGGCAGAAATGTATTATCAAAAGAGGCCTGAATTGATTGCTCATGTTGAAGAGTTTTATCGCTTGTACCGGTCCCTGGCTGAACGTTATGATCATGTGATAGGAGAATTGCGGAAGAATGCACCCTCAGATCTCCAATCCCAGAGTTCATGCCTTTCTGACATTGGTTCAGAACTGCCATCTGCATTGCCATCTCCTGATTTCCAACCTGGAAGACTAGGTCGTCGGAAATCTGGCCCTCGTGCTGCTGGCTTTGATTTCTTCCTTGGCCCTGGTGGAAACGGCTCAGATAATTACCAGAAAGAGGGAGACGAATCATCTTCATTAACCGATTCCGAGCCAGAATCTGATGATTCTTCAGTCAACAATTATTCAACTCCCTTGTCAAATGGTCTTGATCATGGGCAGACGAGAAAGATAATTGAATTGGAAATTGAGCTTCGTGAAGTGAAGGAGAAGCTCCGGATGCTACAGGAAGAGAGTGTAGACAGTTCATTCACGGGTGCAAAACCTGATCATTCCAATGAATTTCCTGCAAAAATTGCAGAATATGAGCAGGAGCTGACAACCACAAATGAAAAATTGCGGGAGTCGGAAGAAGAGATTGCCAGGTTGAACATCAAGCTCAAAAGGGACGAGTCTCCGCAGCATAATAATGGTATAAAGGTTGCACTTGAACCAGAGTCTCCACAACATAATAATGGTCTTAAGCTTGCACTTGAATTATCAAAACCGAAAGAGGCCAAGATACATGAGGGTGAGCGAGACAGGGAGATAAATGAATCGCCGGAGATTCATGAAAGGGTTGATGGGTCGGGAGAACTTCAAGACCCAGGTAGCAAGATTGAGGCATTGACGAAAGAGCTTAGAGCCACAAAAGATAGACTTCAACATTCAGAAAAAGAGATTGCAAGTTTGAGACAGCAACTTGAGAGTAATAAAGCCTCTGAGGAAATCCAACGCTTGCAGGGTCAGCTTGTATCCGCTAACAAGGATATTTCTTCGTGGAAAACGAAGTTCAACGCAGAGAAACGAGAGGTGTCCAAGCTGCAGGAACGAATTTCAAGGTTGAAAAATAGTTTAACAGACCGGGATAATGAAGTCATGGATTTGAAAATAGCAGTGTCTGATGCCGAGGAGAAGATTTTCCCCGAGAAAGCACAGGTTAAGGCTGAAATATCTCGATTGCAATTAGAACGGACACATTCAGAGGAGCAAATTAAAGACTGGGAATCTCGTGCTCGGTTGTTGGAAGACGAAATCAGACGGATGAAGTCTGGAAAAGCAGAAATGGAGGAGAGACTGAATGGCGAGATCGCGCAGTTGAAGGCAGACATCCTTGAGAGAAGCAACCAAATGGAGAATTTAAACAAGGTCCTTGATGCAATGAAAACAGAAAGATATGAGCTTAGCACCAAAGCCACAACGCTACAGGCAGAGGTGAGTTCAAGAGACGATCGGATCAATGAGATAAACAAGACTTTGCAGCATATGCAGACGGAACATCAGGAACTGCTCAACGGGGCTGAAGGGGAGCGTAAACTGGTGGAGGAGCTAACAGAAAGAGAAAAGGAACTCGAAGAGGAGATTCAGGGGCAAAGAATTGTGATCATGGAAGGAGCAGAAGGAAAAAGAGAAGCTATAAGGCAGCTATGCTTCTCGCTTGAACATTACAGGAACGAATACCATAGGCTTAGACAGGCTTGCATGGGGAACAAGAGAGTTCCAGTTTTGGCAACTTAAGCTAAACACAAAACATGATGTCATCGTTTGTATAGTACATAATTTTTTGAGTGCCTGTTTTTTGTATCGGGTCGGAAATGGCCAGCCGAGTGATGAGCTATAGGCCATGCTCTCTCATGGTTGAATGAATGTGAGGTTTGTGTAGTGTAGTATACATATAGATGCAGAGGGGTCCCGGCTTAAGGACCCATTTGAGTCACTAATTTTCCCTGAAAAATGGTGGAGGGCAGAAAATTTGTGTGATAATTCTGGTTTGGTGTTTGGTTTTGGGGTTGAAATTGGCACAATTGAAAGTGTGTTTGCAAACTTTAGACGCATGATTGCATATTCATTTGCTCTTTAAAATTTAGGGAAAAAAAAAGGCCGACGGGACTTTGGATCTTTCATTTGGTTTTGTGCCTCCTAGGCTTTCAATATGTGCCATATCTTTCTCAATTTTATTAATTTCATTACGTGTAAAGTTGATGACTCTTTTTATGAGCATATACGTCAACCAAATGTTTTATCCACAAGAAAAATTAGCGAAAGATTTTAATATATTGTCAAAAACAAGATTTAATACTTAACTAATCAAATTAAATTTGAACTGTTGAATTTCTTTAGCTTACACTTTGCAAATTGACCCCAACAAAAAATAAAGAAAATAGGATACAATATTCGCGCCAGGAAGGGGTCGAACCTTCGACTTTCTGCTTAGGAAACAGACGCTCTATCCACTGAGCTACAGGCGCTTGTTGTTGACAATAACCCTTCATTAATTCTTATCAATGGATAACATGCTTCTTGAACCCAAATCTTTTGGAAAATCCCATGAGGAAGACTATATAGTAAGTTGTTATCATGTCAGTTCTCTTACATTTTTTTCTCTTACACAGGAAAAATTCTTAGATAAAAAGTGCCACATCCAACTGCCTTTCACATAGGAGAAAGTATTGGAAACGACTGCCACATGGTGGTGCGCTCAAAACGAGTGAAACTCTATGGACTCGCATGCAGACCCATTTAGGAGAGGCACCGGCAACCCCTACCAAGAATTTATGCTCACGTTGGTCGCTCTCGATTTTCTGCTAGCTCAACATGCGAAACTCAACATAAAACCAAAAAAAACCTTGACCTTAGGATTTCTAGCACAAATACCATGATAAAATTTGTTTTAACCTCGGCGTCTTATTTAGCTATGCATACAAGACGTTAATCATGTTTGTTTAAAATTATTTCTAAAATGACTAAAAACGTACCTTTGATTATGCCTAGAAAAAAAAAATTCAAAGAACTTTTGGGTCTTAAAAGCTGTTCTTCAATGAGCATTACCAAGTGCTTTTTCACTAAGGACTTGGAAGTTTTGGTAAGAATTTCGACATGTCATAAGAAAAGGCACTTGTAGCAAAAACGTTTACGACAAGTGCTCCGTATATAAACAGTCCCAAACGATTACAACAGCGACCACCATCAAATTTTAGCTCCTAGACGAGGTTGGTTATATGAATCGTAAAACGCTACCGCACTTGATTTTTTATTTTTGACTATATTCTAGCTCGCTTAAACAATATGCAGAATGTAGAATAATATGACGTCAAAAATTGGAAACTCATATGCAAGATATAGCAAAAACCACAACCAAAGCTTAAAGAGAATATTCAATTAAAAAAAAAGTCCTTTGGAAATTCCAAAACAAGCAAATTATTGAAACAGATGGGAAATTAGAATCTCTCCTCTGATCGGTTGGCTCATTGAAACTTGAAAACGACGATGAAAATTGCGTTACGACGGATCCAGATCCAGCAGCATCATGAAATTTATTGGCCTTCAGTCTCAGCAGGCTTCTCGAAAAATGTCTTCTTTATCCAATCAAACGGCTGTTAATTTTTTGAAAATTAAAATAAATAAATAAATAACCATTAGAATCATAATGTTTCTGAAATTTTCTAAATTGTTGCTCAATCTACGGATTTACTGGGAAAAAGAATAAATAAATATGCTATATTTGATAAATAAATAAATTGGGGATGAGAGGAATTGAAGTGGGAAGCGAGAGGTCAGACCTGGACGAACCAAAGAGCGCCGGTGCCGGCGGCGACGCCCCACATGGCGGCGGCCTTTACATCGGAGGATTGGGGAATCGAGAGTTTCGAGAAACGTGCTGCGAGTCCGCCTGCCATTTTTTGGATCTGAATTCACAACAAACGCAAAGAGAGGAGCAACGGTGACGCGCAGCAAAGAAAAGAGACTTTGAACAGGCCGCTGCGTTTGAAGTCGCAGAGAATATTTATAAAATAGGCTAATTACACGTTGCATCCAACTATTTTTTAAATTGACAAAAGAACCCCTCAAGTTACTAAATGTTTTATATTGGCCTCTCGGTCAATCTAACTATCAATTTAACCATCATTTCTTAACGTATTAATCAATGACAATGAGGTTACTTTTCCGGCATTGGAGAACTTAGAATTAGGGAAATTAAGGAAGGGAAATCGAATAAACTAGCCCTTCAGTTAATCCGATCTCTAATTTTGAGGTATTTGATTACAAATTTTAAGGAGAAACTCGCACTCTTCTAATTTCATGTGTTACTGAAACGATTCTTATACCCATATTTTTCGTATATGGGACCGAAACCGTGAGATTCTATATGCCTTTAGTGAAGCCATAATCCATTCAAATATTGCATTGCGATACAAACATCTCAAGTAAACTTCATTTTTAAGATATACAACGGAAAACCTATGAGCCAACCCTACAGACTCTAAATCCGTCAAATCGTTCAACCTTAGTACAGATTCTGGGTACACTAACAAAGTAAACGACAGACCTGAAACGCGAACAACGCACAAGGAACTAATCGTGTTCAACACCCTTGTAGTCCAAGCCTCAAGTCAGAAGCAACACGCCTCTATCACTTTACCGAGGTTGCAAGACAAGCATGCGTAAAGCAGCATAGGCACGTTTTCAGCTGACCGAGGCCACGAGGTATGGATGGGCAAAGAGGGAAGACTGAGGGAACGAGGGAGGGGGGAGAGAGTCCGGGCACTTCTATTCTTAGCTTCCACGCAAACTACTTACCAACGTCAATCTTGAAGCCCCAAGAGTGAATCTTCGCTTGTATTTAAAAACCCACTGAAGGTAGACTTCATCAATCGTCCCAAGCACTATCTGCTGCACCTTCTTTTTTATTGTTCGAATCAGCAAACATGAACCGATACTTATCCTCGATGTTTACTGATGCTGGTCCCGCTGTTGAGCTATTGGATAAGGCAACCCTAGCTTGCTTTTGAGCAGCCGCTGCTTCTTTCTCTTTCCTTCTTGCAGTCTGATAGTCAATAGCAAAAATTGTCAAGCTTATAAACACACGAAACAAAATTTTCTTTTCTTTCTACCCAGATTATTTGGAAATGAGAAAGAAATTCTGTGCACTAGTACGATGCAAAAGCAATAGAAATGTCCGTTGATAGCATATCTCAGAATTAGTACCTTCCCAGTTGCAAAAGCCACAGCATTCCCAGATCCAGCATCTGATATTGCTTTCTTTATATTTGCCACGAGGAACTACAGTGTGCCATCAATAATCGAGAATGAAGAGTTATATTCTGCTAATGGAAGAGATAGTGCGAAGAAGCAATAAGAGAAGGTGGAGAGCAAGGTACCATATCACGATCAGTGTAAAAGGAAGTAGATTGTCCCATTGATCCTGCTCTTCCCGTTCTTCCAATCCGGTGCACATAATCTTCCATGCTCTATATTGAGGTAGCCATAATTGAAGCTTCAGGTTTGCTATTTCACAACAAAATTAATAGCAACTGAAAAGACCAGGCTATTGAGATGCTATCACATGATAGCAAAAAGACTTATGATCACCAGTTGACATTATTCAAAAACCAAAGGTCACCACCCTATTAGTTAAGGACAATGGCGGAAATGAAACTCCGATATGAGCTGCCTAAAATTATAGCCAATTTTCAGATAAGCTTCTAAGTTGGGTTAGTGGATTCCAGATATAAATCAACCAAGGGCCTTCCATCACAACCAGCTATACCTTTGGAAGATCCAAATTGATAACATGTGCAACTCCTGAGACATCCAAACCGCGAGATGCAACATCAGTCGCGACCTACACACAATGGTCTCAATCAGATACTCGCTGATTGGCAATGTTAAAGCTGCCTTATATTCAAGCAGAATCAGACAAAGATGAGCAGATATAAAGAAAATGTGAAAATAATAGAGCACAAGGCAGTGCATGTACCAAAATACTGGTAGTGCCTTTTCTAAAATCACGTAGAGCAGCCTCTCTTTCAGTTTGAGTACGACCACCATGAAGAGCAACTGCATGCAACCCTTGTGCTACCAAAGCTTCAGCAACTTCATCACATCTCGTCTACATGCACACCCAAATTCCATGTCAAATTTCATGAATGAGCCATACAAGTTTAAAAATGCAGAGCCTCAAAAAGAGTTAGTAATGAGAGAACATTAAGTCACACCAGATTATTAATTTTTCCATCTAGCAAGCAAGGCATAGCATCTTGCACTACGAACAGGAAAGACTTCAAATTGAATTTGCACAAACTTTTCACCAATACAAAATTCATGATGATGACCTTTAAACCATATCATATATGACTTTTGCTGTCCACAATATAGAGATTTGGAAGACATGCAAGCAACAGAGGAACTTGTCCATCAATTATTTATACCCATCACCATTAATTATAAGTTTGAAATGATGTTAGTCATAATCAAGTAACGAGAACGTATGAAGCATAATTTACCTTCCTTTCAACAAATACAATAGTTAAGGGAAAGGGATGGCCAGTTCCTTCAACCCGAGATGCCTCCTCTACGAGCAAAGCCAAAAGCCGATCAGTCTACACAGACAAAGCACAATTGTCAAGTTAAAACGAGGCCAAGAACTCTCCCAGTAAAAGATCTGTGAAATATGCTAGCCAAAGATGATAAGATCATCATTACGCACAGAAATAATCAGGGAAGTGCCAAATATACATAGAACAACTCTCCATACCATAGGTGTAGCACTAAATTCCTAGAAACCTCATCCCCACGCCAAAAAGAAAGAAAAAGGAAAGACAACATCACAGACTGCACAATGAAAAAAATGCAGAGAAACCAATATTGCTTATTCTGGGTGAACCAACCTTCTCACTCTCAGGAACCTTCTCCAAAGTCTGAGTTACGTTTGCTGTAGGGCTACTCACTTTTCCCACCTTCACTTGCACTGGTTTAGTTAAGTATTCCTGAAGACAATAAAAGCTAGAATAAGTTTTCACTGAAATTGAGCATGACAGTCTTAACTAAACCAGAGAGCAAGCGAGCATAATGATCTTAAAGGTATTCCAATACTAGTTTTGGTATATTAGAAAATAACAAACTACAAATTCATTTCAAACTTGGTATAAAACTACGTTGCATTAAAGTTATAATGTTTCTATTCATACAATCAAGATTGTCTGGTTAGTAATATGTCCATCTGGTAAGCAAAGCAATAAATAGGTCTGTATACCAATCTGCCTGTTGCAGAGCAAGAAAATACATGATGTTACCACCAAAACAAGAGCTAATGGCTTATATGTCACAGGAAAGAAAGAAGATTCTCAGACCCAACGTACAGGAAAAATAAGCCATAGAAACATAAGATTGTAAAATGAGAAGGTTGATTCTATGAAAGAACCACAGTAAGGCCTTTCCCTTATTTAGTTACAAAAAATATGAATAGAATTACTTAGTTACATTAACTATGATAATGTTCATATAAACTTGTACAAGAAGGTAATCTAGTGGAAACCTTACCTGAGCTAATTCTTCAATCTCTTCAGGCATAGTTGCACTGAACAGCAAAGTTTGATGCTTTTCAGAAAGGTTCCGCATCACCTAAAATGGCATCAAAATATGTGACATATCATTTCAGAATTAAACAGGGAATCAGATAGTTGTTCCATTTTTAAGGAAAAATAAATAGAAAGTAAAAGGCACATTCATGTCAAAAGTTGAGACAAAATATACCTCTCTTATCTGCGGTTCAAATCCCATGTCAAGCATTCTATCAGCTTCATCTAGAACAACAAAAGAAATTCTAGTGAGAGAAGTGTTCCTTTGTTGTAAATGATCTATAAACCGTCCAGGAGTGGCAACCACTACATCAACTCCTGCTCGTAGCTCAGACCTCTGTCAATCCATCCAGTAGAAATACAGAACAAAACAAGTATTAGCGGAGACTAATAAGATATATATTCCGTAAAATGACATAAAATTGAAAAAAACATTGCACTAAAGGGAGGTATGAGGTTAAGTGTTTTCTTTTCATACCACAGGTCAGAGGGGAGGAGGGTGGAGGGGGGCATCAGGGAGAAACATATGTTCATAAGAATCTATAACACTAGAAGCATTGATTCAAACCCTAACCCACACCTAGGCATTATCAAAACTAAGAGATAACGACAAGCACTAACGAATTTCCAGAGTCACAACACCTAGAAGATCAAGAACAATTATTGAAATAAAATGTACAGTTATTCCCCCAAATCAATTACCTGCTCAGATATGTTGGTTCCACCGACCACAATTGCAGTTCTGAAGGACTCGAGAGATGCACTAAAAGCTTTGACCTGTAAAACCACAATATAACTTGGCACTTACAGAAAAGTACTAAGAACAAATTCCAGACTAACAATCATATAGTCATAAATTCATTGTGATCTTTTGCAGCTTAGATCACCTCTTTTTCAATTTGTTGGGCAAGCTCTCTAGTCGGAGCCAATACCAGAGCTAGTGGTCCATCACCGCGCTGAACAGGAGGTTGAGCCAAGCAATGCTGTACATCGAAAATGAAAATTAAAACATGCCTTAAACCAAAAACTACTTCGCATGCACATATAGTCCAGACTACATAAGAATACTAAATAACGGGACCACGGACCTGTATCATGGGAATGGCGAATGCAGCAGTTTTTCCACTGCCAGTTTCAGCACAACCTAATAGGTCCCTCCCACTGAGGGCAACCGGCATAGCTTGAGCCTGAATGGATGTCGGTGTAGTGTATCCGTGATTGTCGATATCCTTCATGATGCTAGGGTGCAAACACTGAGAGTAGAGGAACAACACGTCCGTTAATCCATATGGATATACAAACTAGGCTAATCCAAAAATAGAAGTAAAAAATCTGATTGATAAAACACAAAGACGAATCACCATATCTGTGAAAGACTCAATCGGTGCCGGAGCAGGAGCAGAGTCGGGACTAGCAGAAACATCCAAATTAAGCCGCAAACAAACCTCTTCAATCTACAGGCATGTAATTCCGTAAATTTCAGCTAATGACGACGATATAAACAGACTGATAACGTCAATAAACAGAAATTTGACTGACATTGTGAAATTAGCTGTAGCAAGAACCCTAAGCAAATGCAAATTGCACAAAATTCAGAAAATGCAAGGAAATAACTGGATGAGCGTCGAACCATTTCAGGCTTCATGCCGAGGACGCGGTCGGAGGGCTTCCATTGAGGGACGACGGAGTCAGGGCGAGCTCTGCTGGCCTGGGAGACAGCGCCGGAGCTCCCGCGGGAGGAGGCATTGGAGTGCGAGAAGCTGGAGAAGGAAGCACCACCGGACGACTTATCGTTGTTGATGTGAGAGTTTGAGGAGGAGAGCTTGCTCTGATCGTCTAGGGTTCGGAACGAGGGTTTGGCGGTGGTGGTGGTGGTGGTGGTTGTGGTGGTTCGTGAGCTCGACCTCAGGTGCGGAGGCACGTACGACATTGTTTTGCGGAGAGTTTTCTCGGAAATCGGAGAGAGTGTTTGATTTTACGGCGACGACGTCGACGACTGTGAGTGGAGTGAGTTGAGAGTATATGAAAAACGAGAGGTGCGTGTTTGGCCAATCTTTCTCAATCGAAAGGATCATACCACGAAAATGTTTTCACTCTCTCGCTAGCATGGGCCTGTGGGTTGTGGGCCCTTTTGGGTCTTTGTGGGCATAGATCTCAGTCCATATTTCTGGGCCAGAATTACAACCTCGTTTGGGTCCTCTTATAATTTTGGGCCGGACTCAACCCACATTGGAATTAGGTTTCTTTCTCCCCTTCTTGTACTTGTGGCCCTTGAGGATCAAGCTTTAGGAGTCAAGGTCTCCCTTTTTCTCACTTGACTCTTTGGTTTTAAGACTGTTTGGTCAAGAGAACGAGTGATTTTCCTCTCTGATTTTCATCGCCCAACCTACAAGCAGACAACCAATCAGTCCACTTGAATGATTGAATTTGATTTTATCGTCGGTTTGCAAACCCTAGAGGTCAAAGACCCATTTTCGCACAACTTATTTATGAGCACATCCATCAGTAAGTAGCGTGAGAGCTCTCAGCCACATCAATAGCTCATGTGCTCATTAGCATCTGTCTCTATGAGGTTGAAATGTGAATCACATCAAGCACATTACGTCTTCCACTATATTAGGATAAGGAGTAGAGTTTGATTCCAATTTCACATCTTTTGGTCCTATGAATTGAGTTTGATTAAGAGAAACGGAAATAACAAATACAAAAGTAGAATTAGATGAGTCTCACAATTAATAGATAGAACTTAACTCCCCCAAACCGACAATGGTGTAAAAATTGTGTTATATTTTAGGGAGTTTTAACGAAAAGCCCACGGTATTGTTCACTTTAGCGAAAAACCACATTTTTACACTAAAAAGTCAAACCTGATACTATTCACTTTACCCTTTATTTTGTCCTTATCATTAAAATTTAAAGTTTTCAAGCCATTTTCATTAGTTTTCCTTATATTTTAATAGGAAAACTAATGAAAAATAATTTGAAAATTTGAGTTTTAACGATAAGGGCAAAATAAAAGGTAAAGTGAATAGTATCAGGTTTGACTTTTTAGTATAAAAATGTAGTTTTTCGTTAGAGTGAACAGTATCACGAGTTTTTCATTAAAACTCTCTATTTTATATCCTATATACATAAATCAAACTCATATAAGCCACTGTAGATGCCATCGCTAGAAACCAAACTTGTATTCACAAGCATATCCGTGCGGCTCACATGGCATGTCACCATGTGAGACAAACCTAATTAGTTTTGCTGCTCCCACAGTTTTATGGGAGAGGCAACCTCATTGTAATCGTTCTTATTTCTGTGGGCTCTTATTGCTTTATATTTAACATATGATTGTAATCCGTGAAACTGTCTATGGATAATAAAAAAAAAAGCAACATTATGCTCATCATGTGAGTTTCATCTCTATTAGAGAAATGATACAAAGAATAATAATTTTATAATAAAATAAGTGCATTTTTGCTCATTACCATAAACCATGTTATATGTTCGTCATACACCTCATCATATGTTAGTCGCTATTCTATTTAACTTTTTAATATTGAAAAAGAGACTATCTGAAAGCGAAACTCTCGATGGACTATCTGCCACCTCACACATCAATGTTAATTTTCATGCTAATATTATAAAAAAAAGATAATGCTAGGGAGACAAAAAATTTAAAGTAAATTTGTAAACCAACAAATGTGTCACCAATAGGAAATAAATACGTTAAAATCAATACTTAATTAATAATTCAATCATCAACAACCATATCATTTGATTTAAACAAAAATTTTGTTTAAAAAATTGTTCTCTCTGATATTATCTCATAAAATATTGTGCCAAAAACATGAAATTGAGTCCGTGAGTACACGGAGAATCCTACATCTAAAAGAGTCTTCCTAACATTTCTTATAAAATAATAATAATAATAACAACTAGTGATGTAGCAACTGACATAAAGATGACGTGGATGATTTTGATGATTGAAAAAAAAAAAAAAAAGAGAATGATTGGGGAGGGATTTGGATCCTCTCTCCTGAGCCCGAATCCTCTTGATTAAGAAATGTGGGTCATTTGATGAATATACAACAGCTATAATTATTATAATTTTAAAATAATTTTTTTATTTGTAGTCGTTGGATTTTCATACAACGGTCCACATTTCTTGGTCAGAAGGATCCTCATCTTGGGCTCAGTAGAGGATCCAAATCCATTGGGGAGGAGGTAGCTTGAGAAAGTGCGTGCCATTGGTTGAACATCCTTTTCAATGGTTGTAGTAGGTGAGATGAGCTGAAAGCCCTGCAAACTTGTCCTCAACACGAATTCACAAATTTGTACCTATCTTCTTCTTCCTTCTAACCTCATTTGATTAGTGATTGCTTTAGTTTCAACGATTAAAATTATTTATTAATTTATGTCCTTATAGACTCAATCTGTCGCATAACTTTTACTTTCTTATGAGGCTTTTTTTTTTAATATATCTTTGCATGTCTTATTAAAGCCGCAATAAGAATATTCCAATTACATATTAAATTTTGATTTGCTGGTGAGAAGGATCGAAATAAAGAAACACAAGAACTTCGTTGAAACAAATTTTGCCTTCATCGTGTCTGCCTATGTCTTTATCAAGTGTTGCTCGCTTAGAAAGTGTTTTACGAGAAGGTGTGTGTGTGTTTATGTTTTATTCTACTTCGCTTTTATTAAGAGTATGCCTCTTCGTTTAATAGTTTCGTTATGAAAAGTGCTTTGTACAAATCTCTTGTCCTTGCATATGCTCATCCTACTCAAGACTGTTTTATGAAAGAGCAAGTCTCCCTTTTTCACCTTACTCGTAAAACGTATGATAAAGTGATTATTATGCTACATTACCCTAATGGTTTAATTAGAGCTGGTTTGGTTTGGGGTTGCTTAAATATTTTTAAAAGCAGCTTTTTATCAAACTTGAGGCCTTAATTTTGTGTTTGGTAAATGAAAAAAGATATAATTCACAATCATGGGTCCAAAACAATATAAAGCAGAAACAGCTCTACACTTTTTTCTCAGAAAAAACGTTTCTTTCATTGGAAGCATGTAAACAATACTAATAAATGAAAATTACATATTGATAAAAGCACTTTTGGCACTATCTTTTACCAAACACTTACCTTTTGTTTTCATAACTATTTATTCTCACACCACAACAGAAGCAATTTTGAAAAACAAAAAAAAACACAGCAACCCGAAAACTAGCCCAAACTAGTCCTCTTGGCTTATGCAACTAAGGACCAAAATATTATGATTTATTGCTCATACAAGTTGTTCTTGTGTGTGTGTGTGTGTGTGTAAAATCACAAATATAGGTAGAAATAGAGAGATTTTTCAGTGTGACCGGCATACGTGATAGTACACCACGTGTTATTATTTAAATGGTGGGATATGTGTGTTAAAAAGTTAATATCTTAAAAAATAAAATTTCTCACTATTTACATAAAAACACGTGATGTACCACTCATATTCCCATCACAATTAAAAATTTCACGTTGAAATGTTGACGAGTCTAAGATGTAAGGTGAGAGAGCAATACACATGCACAACGTGTAAGGTATTGGATGATATGGCGTGGTAGGCAGCGCATGTAATTAGGAAGGTAATATGATTACCATAAGGTACGACCACGCACCGTTAAATCTAAATTAACGGCAACCTAATACGACGCCGTCTAAAGATTCTAGGAATGCTAGAAGATCTGAAAATGCATTGACATTTATTTTTTTACTCTCCCCCAATAAATTATATTATCTGTTTTTGTAACGTAAACTTCCATTTGAAGTCGTAGGTTGTGCCTTGTGCGTGTCTGAGTGCCATAAGACATTTCGTGTCGATAAGTTAGTACTAGTCTTCCATCCGAGTATGATTTTCCGGCAATGCTGATGTAAACGGGCAGGCTCCGTTTGACCTGGTTGGGAAAGTTCGGAATATTTTTCGGTTGAGGCTTCATTTTAAAACTAACCGAGAATGAAGGAGTGACTCAACAAATGTTCGAAATTTCCTCAATACAATCGATATTTCGGTGAAAAGATATGGAAACGGAAAGTGAAGTTTAAAGTTCACTCCATATCAGATAAACTTGTAAATTTTGGCTAATATCGACATATTTTGTTGATATTTTCGACATATTGGTTGAATATCGGAGAAAATTTTATATTTCGTTTAAACCAATACTTGACATTCTCTAATTATTATTATTTTTAATTTTAAATTTCCACATTTTTGAGCAATTTTCTGTCATTTCTATCAAAGTCAACCAATATCGATATTTCCATAAATTTGCATATTGATCCGTATTTCCAACGATATTAATATTTTAAACACTACTTATAAGTCTATGCGAAGTATCTTTAATCTGCAATTTATGATTTATACTCCTAACAAGCCTCTCTTACATATAGTCGTCTAATTCTAATGATAAACAACATGTTGAACGAAGTAGAAGCACATGGGCCGTTGAGCCCTACAATTGAGAAAAAATAAACATTTCTCTTATTAAAGTTGACTTGGGGTTTTCTAAAGATAGTGGAGAAAGAGATTTTTTTTATTTAAATAATCTCTACTAATTAATAAAACACTAATTATCAATTATAACTCTATGAAATTATCAGTTTAACCCTCTAATTAAAACAGAATATGAATAAGAAATATGGGGCAGAAATATAATTTCACACAATCAAATTTTGCTGTTTTTTTTTTCAAAGTCTCACTTACATGTAATCCTAACATATTTCTAATTAAAAATTAAAAAAAAAATTTATGTGTGCCCATATTCTAGTAGTTAATATTTGAGAATTTGAGATAGATTTATGTACAAAGTCCAACGTCATTTGAGTGAGCAATACGACTTTATAAAGAAAAAAAGATGAACTATATGTCTAAGCAATCAATTGCTCCTTCAAATTCTTAAGG